ATCACACTGTGTTTACCTTCCCAGGTAAATATTCGCTGTCATTTTATGAAGTTAAAAAAAAAAGCCAGTTTTACCAAAGTGACCATCATAATTTATGCTATAAGGTTTGTTAAAACTAAATATGGCTACTGTTGCGAATCAAAATATTTATATTGTTTGGTGTTCTTATTAAACCTGTAACACATTCCTACATATTGTTTTCCTCCTGCTTGCCACCAAGAAATAAAAAACAATAAAAATAAAAACAAAACATAACCTAGTCGTGAAACAAAGAGGTAGCATTGATAGAAACCACATTAAGTGTTAGTGAACTGTCATAGAATCTCCAGGGGCAAGTGTCTGTTTGGCTGTTTCAGAAGTTAGTTGTGTATCCTTTATAGCAGTGGCTATCAACCTTCCTAATTCCGTGACCCTTCAATACAGTTCCTCATGGTGCGGTGACCCCCAACCATAAAACTATTTTCGATGCTACTTCATAACTTCAATGTTTATGTGTTTTCTGATGGTCTTAGGTGACCCCTGTGAAAGGGTCGTTCGACCCTCTAAAAGGGTCGCGACCCACAGGTTAGGAACCGCTGCTTTATAGGATGTTGCAGAACCAGTCCCAGTATTTTTTGGCAGTTTTTGATTTGCTAGGTTTTTTTACATTCAATAGTTTGTGATCTTAAACAGCCTAAAGTCTGTGGTTAAGCACCAGCAAGGAGACCAAAATTAGAATTTTGAGAGCATACATCTTCCCTGTAGCAGCATCCGGATGTGAGTCGTGGTCTATCTCCCAGTCCTTAAGAAAGAGAATAGGGGGTTATGAGCTGAAATGCTATAGAAAGATTCTTAGAATAACTTGGACAAAGAAGAGGAGAAATACTGACATCTTGAAAGATCTGAACATCAAGGAAGATTGGCTAATAAACAAACAGCATTCTGTCTCGGAAGCTAAAATATTTTGGTCATATCAAGCGCCACGACAGATTGGAAAAAATTATAGCAGAAGGCTTGGTACCAGGAAGAAGGGGCAGGGGCCGACCGACACGAAGATGGGCACAGGATATAAGTGACTCCTAGAGTATGAAAGTCCATGAGGCAGGACAACTGGTAAAAGACCAAGTTTCTTTTAGGCAGACCGTGATGAGAGCGACATTTTGCAAAGGACCTGCTACTTGATGATGATAATGAGTTTGTGATCGCTTCTAAACGGCCGACTCTCGATACCAGTGTCAAAAATCAAAGCAGATCAGTCTACTGCCAAATTACCCACAGCTGGAATTGAACTGAGTACTTCAGAATTATGAAGTGTATTCACAGCTTCTAAGCCACAGGTGCTGACAGTGCAGTTAGTTGGAAAAAATCCGAACCTTGCTACATGAAATTTCTTCAGCCAACAACGAAACAAAACAAAGTATGCCGAAAGAAATACCAGGCTGTGCTACAGGAGGCATCTTGTTTTTAACTCTTTCAGAATCAGTGCTTGTATCTGGGAAGTTAAAATAGTAGCATTATCAGACACAGAGAGTTAACATAAGAATTTGGGTTGGGCCAAAGGAGTGTAACAGTTGGACTTTTCACAGGGGTTCAGAACAGAAGATTGTGTCAGGTGAAACCAATGGCACGGTGCTGAAGGAGTTAAAGCTGTTATAACAGATATGACTAATGGAAAAGCTGTTATGACAGATATGGCTGATGCAAGCTGTTGTAACAGATATGACTAATGGAAGCTGTTATGACAGATATGACCGATGCAAGCTGTTGTAACAAATTAATGGAAGCTGTTTCAACAGATATGACTGACGGAAACAGACATGACTGATGGAAGCTGTTATAACAGATATGGCTGATGGAAGCTGTTATAAAACAAACAGGGTGGACTGATCATAAATGTAAACTTTACAATAGTTTAAACAATAAGCCTGCTTAGCCATTTTATAACAAATGCTATAGTTAATAAGAAAATAAAAAAAGTAAAGGACCCTTTTCCACGCCTTTAGGCGTATTGGGCATATAGGGCTAGACCTATATTTTTGTAGACCAATCGACACATGGTGGGTGATGTGGTCAACATCACGCTGGCTGCCTTTACTTTCCCGGGACTGCACCCTGTACCCACTCAAGGCTGGGTCGACCTGGGAGCCAACGTCATTTTTTAAAAAGTCTGGCTCCACCAGGGAGTGAACCCATGACCTTTCGATCCGCGGCGAGCAACTAGCCGCTCGCCACTCCCAGTAAATAAGAAAGACTTATCTTAAAAATAAAATGAATAACAAATAGGCCAGAGTAATCATAAAGAGAAACAATAACAAACAGGACAGGCAGTAATCCTAATAAAGAAACCTATAACTAATAGGAAAGACTAATCCTAAAAAGAAAATATATAACATATAGAGTAGACTGATTATTAAAAAGAAACTAAAAAATATGGTAGACTGTAATTTAAACAATAAGGGGAGGAGACAGTAACCCTTAAAAGAAACTAGCAAATAGGGTAGACTAATCCTAACAAGACTATAACAGATAATATACACTGGTCATAAAAAGAAACTATAACAGATGGTAGCCTGTAATTTAAAAGAGAAACTGTAATAAACAGGGCAGACTGTAATCATAAAGAGAAACTTTAACAAGCAGGGTAGATAGTAATCTGACAGAAAAACTTCATAACAAATATGGTAGACACCAAGATAGTGTATAAATAATTATCTTTAATGGACTACAGTATCAGTAAAGTATCACTAAAGTACTTTATCCAGAAAGAAGGGAAAAACTTTAACATCGCTACTGGTTTACCCCATACCTATATGATCCTACAGTGCATATTCAATAAAATATGTTACATCTATTTATGTATCATGATACTAAATTTTCTGCAATATTGTCGCACATAATGATAAAATCTGTGTTGTTACCTGCATCTTTTCTAGTAAAATGCAACATGCTGGTAGCCATTCACTAAGTGCGACCCCTGGCCCAAAAAAAAAAGACAAGCCCTGTGACACAGCGATTTATGAATGGCAAAGGAAGTCACTCTCATCCTGGGCGGGAAACGCAAGATGCACCTAATCTGGCTGTGTCTGAATTGTAGGTTAGGTTTTGTTTTCAGGAAAGCAAATATTTATGTCACTTAATGTCATTGAAGTTTGCCTGGTAATGTTTTAAATATCAATATTCCAGTGTTCTGCACACCTCATTAATGTGTCATTTTAAAACTCAGATTCCAAAATTGTGAGCAATTTTTGTTTGCTTTTCTTTCCACTTTTATAATTATTTTTTTAGCATCTAGGCTTGTATAGCATTTCAAACTAGAAAATGTCAAATCTGTGAAGTTTTGTTACCCTATGATTTCTTGTATGTTTTTAATTTCTGAATACTTACAATCTATGTGGTATTTTGTATTTCACTGTAGAAGCTTAATGTTAACCACATGATTCTCCTGTTTACATAATGCAGGATTCGTCTTCAGCATTTTGAGTCCTCAACTCTTTCACACTGTTGACCTAGAAACAAAGCTAAACTCCTTTACCCCCTACAAATCATTTAAAACACAACTAATTTATATATGCCAACACACACACACAAAAACGTACAAAATCATATTTTTTTTTTAAAGAACGCAATGACTTTACAGAGCAAGGGGAGTAATTGATAAAAGGGAATGCAGCATAGAATCAGCTAGCTTACATCACTTGAGACCTGTAAATTAATTATAGTGGGACACTTGCTTAACCCTATGACCTGATCGCCTGGTAACCACTGTAAGCCAGCGGTCAAAATATGTATAGTGTCAAGGGTCTGTGTGGCTATGAGATAGCGGTATTTGGTGATGGTAAACAGTGGATTAGAACTTAGATGACTGTTTAGCAACTGGGTGTTCAACAGCCCACTGAGACTTCGACCAGACTAGCGTGACAGATGAATTAATCACTCCTGGGTCCACAAGGCTCTCAGGGACCCTGCAGTGAGTTGGGGACTGGACAAAAGTGGCGGGCAAACAATGTTTCAGAGAGTTGTGCTGAGAGACTTGGACAAGACTTGTGGCGTTCTGACCTGTTTCTGTATCTGACTTCAGTTAGTGAAGAAGTCTAGCAGTGTTTGTCTGTTGTCTGCCATACTCTCTATATGTCCCAGCCATATTTACAGAACTGGAAAATCCTAATTCTGTTCGCTTCAGCTAATTTGAAAAGATGATTTTCATTGTGTAATCCTGGATTTTCTCCATAGGCTTTAAGGATGGGGATGGAGCACTTCTGGGAATGTCCTGAGTGCTGTAATGTTAGTTCTTAACCCAGCTTCAACCTGCATTATGTAAACATGAGAATCACATGGTACACCTTTCACTCGGTAACAATATGATTTGTAAAGTTCGGTTGAAAGGATTCATTTTTCTCTCATTTCGGTTAAGATTTTGTTGCATATAGAAAAGTGTTTCTAACTTTAAATCCACAAATGCCTTAGCAATGTCTCCACAGCTCTTTCCGCGTGAGACTATACATATTAACATGGAGATTTAGCAACAATTGTTTCTGTTGTAGTATAAGATGTTTTTTTAAACACAGCTTTTTTTCTCTCACTTGTATTGTCCACATCCCTGATCACTATACACGTATAGTTTTAAACGTTGATTCACAAAATTCATGTTGGCTTTTCTGTTTTGCCAATAAAATGCTTTATTTTCTTACACAGCTGATTTTTAATTATGTTATTTTATTCATCATTTTGGTGTTGTGTTTTAAAGGTTTCCAGAACCAATCTAATGATATCAACAACAAAACACACAAAATAAATAAAAACAGCACAAAATAAAATATAATTAACATTTATTTTTAATAATATCAGACCACATCCCAAAAAAGGATGATCCGGTCATTAAATGACCGATCCATGTTTGACATAAACAAAAACAGTCTCAGATATTGTAAAAGAAAAAATCCTGTGGAATAACCACAGCTCCAGATTTTGAGACAGCTCAGATCCAGTTTTCAAATCCAATCATATCTAGCTTTTGGAACTTCTCAGCCCCAGTTTTCATCAGGAGTTGACCAGTTAGCCCCAGTCTCTACAGCGGTAGTGGCGGCAGGCTCAGCAGACCAGTCATCCATCTGTGGGATGGCCCACTCCTCAGCCGCAGCTGGGAATGTCTGTGGCTGGAGGCTGACTGCTGGGACAGGGACTTCTGCTGCCCAGTCACCAACATCAGGTCCGCCCCCGATGCCTAAAGACAAGACGATGATGTTCAAAACACACAGCTGGATAATCAGGTCTAGCAATAATTGCATCAAAAAGATACAACTTGTCCAGTGTTACAATATTTATTTAACTACTACAATGTCCAGTACTACATAGATCATACAGTAACAACACTCTACTACTACACTGTTTATTGTGTACACCAACCCTGCTTTGATCAGTGACCTGGTACTATTTGCATCTGTGTAGTTTAAAAAAAAAAAAAATTGGATATGTTTTTGTTTATTTAACTACAAGCAGCATTAAGGAGTTTACTGCAAGAAAAAAATTTCCCTCTTAAAGTCATTGTGGCATCATCGGTCGCCTCTTGTGAGCACACACAACTGGGGTCAAGGAACCAGTCAACAAATATTTTGGTTGAGGTTCAAGAGCAGGTAAATCATTTGATTCTCTGCATCATTTGATCATTTAGTTTTTTAAAAAAGTTTATGCGTATCAATACACTTTTTATAAACATTAGCGACCTATGTTAAATGTGTTTTTTTCTCTACAAAATTGGGGAAAAGGGGGGGGGGGATTTTTCCGGTTTCATTGATATTTCTCCAAAATGTACAGCCATGAGGTCTGCATGGACTGAGGACTGAATTGTTTGAGGGAAACAGCGCGACTATCAAGGAGTTAGTTCCAGGGTTTGTGACTGAGGACTTGTGACTAGTTTTGACCGTTACATTATAGTGTGTATCGATTTAAGTGTAGTGTTAGTTGTGAAACTCCAGAAAAACCTCTTCCACAACTTCGTGCATAGCGTGGACCTTTTTGCACTCATCTCTTACTTCTAGCAACATAGACCCTTTGCCCACTCTGTTACCATCATCATCCACTGCCTTGCCTTTACGACTGGCGTAGGAAACCATGCTTCCGCTTCTGGTACTATTGAACAGCAAGTAAATTCAGCACGCAACAGTTAGGCAGTTTATGTATTAATGTGTTTAGCTCGACAGTAGCATTAGCCCATGTTCTGCACAGCCTCCTACAGAGTTAGTATCTTGTGTAGCAATTCACGTGGGTAGCTAGATGGTATTGTAGTTATGCCGTTAGCCAGGTTATTTTAGTATTTTGTGATCTGATCTATCCTTGCACATTTTGGCCCACACTCTGCAGCCGCTGCACAGTTCAGCGATAGAGGAAAGAGCTTGTAATGAGAGTGGGGTGGGTTGAATTATGTAGGATCCATTGAACGGGATATTCTAGGGAAGTGAGTCCTCACTGCCTTTGTTAAGGATCTGTGTTGCCCACCGCTTTTGAGGTGAACTGCCTGCTGTATACTGTTCTGTACATTAAAGATGAGCTCTGTAAGTGTTTGGCTTAGTGTGTTTAGAAGTAGACAGTCTGTCACGAGCCTACACAGCGAGCCTTATGCCGTCATGGCAGTAAACTAGGTCTCTGACACTGGGGCAAAAGAGTTAAAGAACTTGTTTCATGTGTTAGTCTGTCTTCAAGTAAAAAGTTATTCATGGTCTTCAAAATATCTCCTTTCTCCACCAAAGTTTAAAAATTACTAGTGTCTGCCATATTTGCCCGTTGTGAACTTAGCATAGGCTTGTTTCATGGAACCAAAAACAAAGAGGTTTAAAAAGACTAGAAAAGAGTTGCTGAAGAGAAAAAAGCCAAGTGAAATATTATGGACGTGTTAAAAGACAACATTCTTTCAACAAACCATAAAGAGGCAAAAGTTAAAGCAAGCGAGCAAGAGACAGACAGCGACACAAGTGGAAGGATATGACCTAGAGATGGACAAAGCAGTACCCTAAGAGAGTTTACATCTAGGGTAATGTATCTATGCTGCAGATCCATTGCAGTGTATATGTTCAGTGTGGAGTATGTCATAAAACGTGACTGACTACTCAGCAGTTTTCTCTAGGAAGTCTGAGTGCATCTGCCTGAGATGTGATGAACCAATAGTCAGCACACTAGTAAGCTAAAACTGTAAAACGGGTGTGCATGCAAAACTCTAGTTCAGGAATAGACTTGAGTTCAAACGTGGATGGACAACCAAATATTTTTGGCAAAGTTGACAGCCAGTGAACGCTAAGTTAAAGAAGAAGACTCAGTGATTGTTTGGTGATGTATGTATCACCAAAAAAGCCTTTCTGGCAACCAAAACAAAAATATAAACATTTTACCTGCATCACCAGGCCAATCAGGTTGTGGTGGTGGAATCTCCTCCTTAGCTCGTTCTAGGGCTTCTTTCTCTTCTTTTTCCACTTCTTCAGGGTCACGGTAAAAGAAGAGATCTGGCATTATTTCCCAGGCATGGTCACGTGAAATGGTGCCTCTCAGTCGCAGAACCTCACGGGCAAGAAGCCACCACATCAGACCAATAGACTGAGCACCCTTATTTTAAAAAAAACAAACAGCAAATAACATTTAAGAGGGCAATTCATGTGTCATACATACAATATGTTAAACAAACATTAATCAACTAGCCGGCACTTTCAGACAGCTAAGAAAGAAGAACAAACAGAATAATTCTAATTTTCCTACCGTCATGATCTACTATTTTTCTCCTGACATGAGACCGAAGAATATACAAATATACTGTTCTCAAGCGGCGTCCGTGGCTTAGGGGTTGCGAGTCCGACTGTAATCCAACGTACCGCAATCGAAACCCACTGCTGGCTGCGTAGATTTGTATTGTGGTTTGGGGCGTCGCAGGTCGACCCAGACTAAAATGGATACCAGGATGGGCTGTCCTGGGAAAGGTAAAGACAGCCGGCGTAATGCTGACCACATTACCCACAGAGTGCTGATGGTCTATAAAAATATGGGCGCTCTTCCCATATGCCCGATACGCCTAGAGGCCTGAAAAAGGATCTTTACTTTTACTTCACTTACTTACTGTTCTCAAAAACTGATTGTCTGATTATAATGAAACCTTGTACACTTATTCAAAATTGTAATACTTATGCAAATACAAGAGTGTTTGTAAAACTAAGGTTTAGTTTTTGTGCAGCAGTCGGAAAACCAAGAATTGTCTAAAAATATATTCTAAATTTTTTAAAATTAAGTAGAAGAGAAATAATACAATATCACAAAAACGTTCAGTACTTATTTAAAGGAGCTTTGAATGTAGAAATATACTAACAAACTGAGCCTGTACATACAACAATTGTGGTATAAGACCTATCCAAAGAAATCCAATACGCTGCTGTTTATTTTGGTGTCCATAGCAACCATTGAGTGCAGTCAGCTTTCTGGGATTTGAGGTTTCCAATATAAAACACTATACCAGAACATAGAAATTAATAGTATACAATTTAGTTTCAAAAGGTAAGCATCGCCTTAACAAAGTGAACAATCAGGGGCGATATGAAAAAGATGAATATCCTACATGCATAACAATAGCAACAAAACAATATATTGGGCACATCATTAGGAGAACAGAGAATCACTAAACAGTCACTTAAATGGGAAATAAATAAACTTAGGAAAACAAGGATATCCAAGAGAAACTATAAGACAGAGGTTGATGACAAATGCTGGACTTGGCTGCATCCATGATATCAAAAGGATTGCACAGGACAGAATAGAAGAACAAACAAACAACCTTTATTTTCAAAGGTCATAAATTGGGCACACAGGTCAGTCTTACATTCGGCACTTCCAAACACTCATCTTTGTAACAGCCATTGTATTTCGTCTGCACAGCAAGTTATGTTCAAATAACAATTTACATAATATGAATATAAAGTAAAATACACAAAAGCATGGGTGGAAATGCAAACATACATACATGTATACATACATGATAACACATAAATATATAAACATAATACATATATGATGGAAGACTATACTGTGAGCCCTACGTAATGTATAACTTCATAACATGAAGATGACTGGGGACTTCCCTACAAGCATCTCCAGGCTGACTGATCCCCTACCTTGTTGTTGCAGGGGATGGCAATGTCCACATGTTGTAGCGGTGAGTCCGTGTTACAGAATGCAACCACTGGAATGTTCACGTATGAAGCCTCCGTTACTGGCTGATGGTCAATGCGAGGGTCAGTCACGACAAGGAGACGGGGTTCACGGAAAGCAGCCTAAAAGCAAACAAAATAATATGACTGCATAAACTCTACTAGAAAAGTTAAACATTGATGGAAATGACTGAGGAATTATAAAGAACACGTATTGGCAGCAAACAGCAGCTATAAAAATTAATAACCATTTGGGAAAATGTCAGAACAAAAAGAGGGGAGTACGACAAGGATGTGTACTATCACCTGATTTGTTTTAAATATACAGCGAATATATAATCAGATCTATCACGGACATGCGGGGAACTGTGGTTGGTGATCATAACATAAACAACCTATGTTATGCCAAGGACACAGTCTTGATAGCAACACATCAAAAAGAACTACAGGAATTAATAGATATGGTGATGGTAGCGACAAAATGGGCCTCAGTTTAAATAATGGGAAGACAGAAGTAATGGTGATTTCCAAGAAAATAATAGTGCTTAAATTTGTAATAAAAGTCAAAGGCGTTATTTTAGGACACATACAGAAATTTAAGTATCTGGGCACATGAATAACATTCGACGGAATATGTATCACAAAGATGAAGAACAGAACAGACAGGCCAAAACTGTACTTTACAAAATGAAGAACATTTTATGCAATAAATCCATGTCACTGGATGTTAGGAAAAGAATTCTTATATGACAAATAAAGCCAGTTTTAACATATGGATGTGAATCCTGGATGTTTAAGACAGAACAATTTCTGGAGGTGTGGTTTTAGAGAAGAATTCTTAGAATTCCTTAGACAGCTAAAAGAGCAACCCAGGCGTATTGCTAGGGGTAAACAGACTCACTCCTTGAAGGAACAGATGCATTGTTTAGTGTATGACTCAATGAAAATTAAAATCTAGAGGATTGATTTCATTGCACAGGAGTTTATCCCACATGGCTCCGTCGCTCCTGGGATGATCCCTAGGGATCTCTGTAAAACTGAACTTGTGAAGTGAACGACGCGAAGATGGAATGAACCCATGACTGTCAGAATGCAAGGCATACAGCTTGACAACTTCACCGCCAAGACACTCTGACTCAACTCAAGATGCTACAAACATACATAAAACACCGACTGGTACACACCAGTTAAATCCAGTGTCACATGGTATTGAAAGAGTTCATGTCAATTATTTAGGTTACCTAGATAATGTTACTGTTTCATGAATTCAGATTGATTAAATACGCTGTGATAAAAAAAACTTTAGAAGTCAGAGACCATAGTCTTCTTCTTCTCCTTATTTCATTCATTTGCAATACAATTTCTATATCTGCAAATTCTGTGTACATGTGGCTGCAAAGTCGATTGTGACCTGTTCTAAGGCATAGAATAATAATGACTTGCTCTGGTAATCGTCTGTTGCCACTTTTGGTGGATTTCTGATTGATTTAATTTTTTTTTTCTTCTGTTGATAAGAGACCATATTATTCTACAGAGGGAAAATAAGGGGACAGAGTCATTCATAAATCAGGCACTGCTCAGAACTTCAAAGAGTTAATTCAACACAATCAAAGATCACACCCTAAATACACGATGAAGGCACACATCATACCTGGATCTGATTAGTAAATGTTCCTGGCGTGAAGCGTCCAGCAATGGGGGTTGAGCCAGTAGACGATGCAAATTTTAGAACTGCCCTTTGTCCATAGGGGCGAGCTGAGATCACACAAATGTCTGCTGGATTCTCAATGGCTGCAATAGCACGGGCAGCCAACAAAAGCTTTTCCCAAGTCTTTTTTAAGTTGACAATGTAGATACCTGGAAAACAAAATACGAATGACATCTTCACAGTTTTCAGGTTCACCATTTCAAAAGGAGACAAATTAACATTCTAATGTAGTGTGTCCTTTATGAAAGTCCGAGGAACCAATTAAACTTTTTCCTTCCCAGATGATATTGCAGTATTTCTTATGGGACAACAGGAATATCCAGTATTGTTTTCAACAACACTAAACACACATTAGAAGTAGCCAATGGAGAAGATACATTGCCTTAGTATTCTCTCAATAAATGTGAGAGAACACATAATGTGATAGTTAGTATGCAAATGGAAGAGCCACAGACACACCATGTGTTTCCTGGGAGTGAAAGATTTAAGGTGTCAATGATATCATTTACATTTACACATTCAGACACAAAACCGTAACTTTAGAATGCAAACCTCTCCATGTACGTTCTCATGCCCCTTGTGAAAAGGGTCGGTTGGGGTGGGAAAGGGGGGGGGGGGGGGGGGGGTAGAGCCATTGCTCTTTAAAAAGCATTCATAAAGGTGACATTAAAAATTTGCTGAAACAGGTAAGGTGTGCAGATATCACATCCTAGCTGTAAACCACAAGATAACAGCATTTTAAAGAGTGAATATTGAAGAAGAAGAATTCAGTCCTTATTCTGAGTTTAAAATTTATTACTTCTTTAGTATGACTAATAAAAAGTAAGGTGGCGGATTTTCGAAATGAGAAAGGTCTCCAGATCTTAGCTAACTGGGAACACTGTTGCAATGCATGAAATAAATTAGCATGTACGTTGCTTGGGGGAGGGGGTTTGAAAAGGGGTGTGTGTGTACGTCTGCTGAACTTAGTGCATACAGTCTTCTACTGATGCCCATAAACAAAAATAACTTTAAAAAACACATTTCTCTCAAGACAAATTAACTTGATGGTCCAAGGAACCAATTGAACTCTTGTCTTTCCCAGATGATACTGCAGCATTGCTTTTACGACAACAGGAATATCCACAACAAACCAGGAGTATTGTTTTGAGCAACACTAAACACACACCGGAAGTAGCCATGGTATTTGCATCATTTTTCTACAAAACCACAGAATGTCTCACCATCTGGTTTTCTCTTGAACACATATTGCAACATCTGGTGGTCCACATTGGTAGATCCCAGATGAACACTTGCGGCGAGGAACTTCAGCATGTCCTGCTCCTTCATAGACAACACTTCCAGTCCTCCTGACATTCTGCCTCTTTCTATGTAACCCTGAACACTAATATAAACCTATAGGTATACAATAATAAATAATGTTTAACACTTAAGGCACCAAGCAGGTGTTAAATTAGTTTTAAAAACTGTTCCACACCTTCATGTGTATTGAGCATATACGACTAGACCTATATTTTATAGACAAATCGGCAATGGGTGAGTGATGTGGTCAAAATCATGCTGGTGGTGTTAAATTAACATTTAACTCATTACATTCTCAGAGGAAGGCAAAGAGATAAATATCTGGATGGCTTAAGGCAAGTACACTGACCTGATCCCTGATTCTGATCATTATGTGAGATGACTTACCAGTATGGCACAAGATAATTCTAAGAATCTAAACAACTGGAGAATCATAGAGGTCGTATAAGGAGTATGATAAATAACATGTACTAATTGCCAGTCAAATAAAGAAGTAGAGATGATGCCTCACTGGGGTACGTTAACTCATGAACAAATTATTACTCCTAAAAAAAATGTATTACTGAAGGGGTCTTTTATACACCTGAACCTACAGCTATGGAAAATGGATAATGAATCAACCTGTTTTTACAAATTTTTATGTGCTAATCAATGCACATTAATTTGTTTAACATACTATTCTAAGAATGTATTTCTTAAAAGTACTGTACTTGCCGATAATAAAATGCTTTGTTCTAAAAGAAGCGCCTAACAAAATGTACAGAAATTTTCCAGAATACACTCAAATTTAATTTTTGCGCTCCAAATAAGTCTCTGATTCTGGCCATGCTGCATCTTTTCCCCTCTGTGCACGCTTTCCTTTCATCATTTTGCATAAAATATCTTGGTGAGACCACCAAAACTTTTTGCTTTTCTTTTTTTGTCCCTGGAGGTAAGAAATGATGCTGTGCTGTTCTAGTACCGTGTTCTTAGCATACTTTATCACCAGCCTTATTTTAAGGCCTATTTTAAGAACAAAAAAAGTGTCTTTTACACCAACAAATATGATAATCAGTAATCAACACTTGGGGGGAACTAAAGAGTTAACATAATAGCTTTATGTGACCAAATTTGTAAAATAAGAAATGGGTCAGACTGGGTGAGTGTGATAACTGGAAGTGTCCCAAGAAATTCAGTAAGGTAGATTTTTTAAAGTCAAAACTATCAAACTCGTAGTGAGTTCCTTGGTAGTGAATAAGCTGATACTATTATTTATTTCTTACTGTTTACTATTAGCAAAGCAAGCAGAGAGACTGATTTGTGTATTTTAGTGGAAAAAAATCCTTCCCTTTTTGTACATTTTAGGTTGGTGTAACTCTGTAGTAATGCACCTCACAAGACACAGACAGGCAGGAAAAAAAAAATGCAATGTTTTGTTTGTGAACACATTATTTAAATATTACTAAGTTTGTTTCATAATTTATGGAAATGAGATGACTAAGAAGGGTTGCAGGAGGGACTAAAAGAGATAAAATCAGGAATGCCTTATGCATGCAACCATGAAGTTCACCGCACCTGACCGTCAGGGGTGGAGGGATCTGATCCGGCAGTCAACAGCAACTGGTGACCCAATGACATGCAGTGTTATGGAATGATGATGACAGATGATACATAACTGTGTTTTTCCATTTCAGAAATAATAAATACAGATATACTAGTGTATCATGAGAGCTAATAGACTGAAATGGCTGTGGCATATTGAAAGAATGTCAGATGCCAGAGTAGTAAAAACTGTATACATCAGGGAGATGAATGGTGGTAGACCATGAGGGAGACCAAGAAGACGATGGAGAGATAATATCAAGACAGACCTGCAAACACTTGGTGTTACCAACTGGAAAGAGAAGGCCAACCAGGGAGATGAATGGAGGCAGGTGATATCTGTAGCAATGAATCTCAAGGGCTCGGAATGCTGAAGAAGAAGAAGAAGATATACTAGGGTGAATACAAAAAGGAAAGTAAGGTAAGAAAAGTATTCACTAATAAGTCATAGGATATCATATGGTATTCAATATCATAATTAGGTGCTATGTTTACTACTGTGGGAAATCATGCTTTTCCATACCATGGAGTCTCTAAAAGCATGCACAAATTCTATGCTGAGATCTGTCCCCGTCATGACAAAATATGGAAGAATCTTTTCTCGTTACTTTTCTTCAAAGTTACAAATGTTCCAGTTCTCTCTTCATGTGGCCTTTATTTTTATTGTTCTGATGGCCTCAGCATTTATTAAGCAATGGATGGGCTTTAATGCAGGGGTCCCGGGTTTGATTTTCTGAAAAAGGATGAGATTGTTCTGTTGCGACAAAAATAAAATTCCTATTTGCATAGCTTGTGGCAACTGCACTAGACAAGCGGCTTTAAATCCTTAGCCTCATGACCCACCCTGCCCTACACTCCTTGTCATACATGACCAAAGTTGGTAAATAAATACAAGCAGTAAAAATATTTCTTAAATATAATCAACAATAGCATTAGTAATTAAATTTAATACTAATTTTGACCGTCCAAAGAAGTTTAAATATTCTTCTGTAGAACCATTTCTCTCCTTTATCTGTTGCCTTAGGATTTTTTTGGGGGCATATGAAATATCAGCACTCTTCCAAATAACAGGCGTAAATTATGCAGGTTAAAAATATACCCTAACAGGGCCTTAATGATATGTAAAAGTAGGATTTATTTTCATCAAGGTAAGTGTCATTCAGAAATAATAGTAGGGTAGGCAGACAATCAGCTCCATCGCAGATCAGCAACACTGTTTTACCAATTCAAGAACTGTTTTTCCTGTAGATGTCAGACCTGCCAACTTGCAGTCAGTGATGAACAATAGACTGCAATAAACCATGGCATCTATGATCATGTCATTGTTGTGCATGAGACTAATTTTGTTGACAGTGTACACAGTGATATTCACACCCAAAAATTGAAAGGTTATGGATGCAACTGAAATGGAAGCTGCGTTACCATGGTGGTACTAGCTGGGCGTTGTTTACTGCATATTTAGCAGAGTTTTAGTGGTGGCACAGTCACAAAGACAATATTTTCAGGCAGTATTTACAGCTTTTGTGCCACAATTTCCATATAGAACTCCAAACTATTATTTATTAGGTATGTCCAGCTTCTCAGTGTGATATTTTATGTTTGTTGCTAGTTTTAAAAATTATTCCTAGTTTTTAATATTTATATTAGATGACCCAGTGAGGCCCTGTTGTGGTATATTTTTAACCTTTATAATTTACACCCGTTATTTGAAAGAGTGCCGAAATATCTATGATTCAGAACCACAAAAAGATATTTTTTTAATTAGACTATTTTATTAGGCTAATTTTTTTTTTTTCAACTATAAGAAATTAGACCAATCGCACTCAGTGGTTGATGTAGTGAACATACGCCGACTTTACTTCCCAGGACATGACACGGTGACATGCCGTGATGGTTTTTTTTATTGGGTAGGGGGTGGGTTGGGGAGGGGGTAAAGTAGATAAGTAGATAAATAGATAAAACAAACAATCCCCGCGTGGGTTCTAGGGCCTCATTGTTGAGAAGACAAAATTTGACCGACAGTCTCCCCAAACAGGCATGTCAAAGGTGGAATCGGCCAATTGGGACGGTAGCTTTCTCTGAAGTCAGAGTACATCTGCCTGAGACAAAAGGAACAACCAACTGCACACAAATAAGCTAGTATACCACTAAAATAGATGTGCACTCAAAACTTAGGCTATGGCACAAAGTCCAAATGGACGAACACCCTAGACTTTCCGCCGGAGCTTACATACAGCTGGTGAACAAAGAAGAAGAAGAAAAGACAGGGGCTTAGTCTGACTGAGTTTAACATCAAGAAAGTCAGTCATCCTGATTCGCATGTCCGGCAGACACAGCAGCTGCGCGTCTAGCATTTCATTAGCAACGGGACCGAGTCTCTAGCTCGAAAAACAACGCGTAGGTAAACAGAATACTTTGATTTTAATGATTATTCCCTACGACAGTCACTGGCACTTTACGTTACAAGTGACTACAATCAAAATAACAGCTTAGGACCCATTAAACTCAGATATTTCGAGGAAAAAACACGAAGACTTACGTTTGAATCAAACTGAAGCAGAAAACAAAACAAAAAACCAATATCCGCTTTGAATAATCGATACGAGACAATTATGTTGGATTTGATTTGGTAGAGGGAGGTGAAATCTTCTTCTTCTTCTTCTTCTTCTTCTTCTTCTTCTTCTTCTTCTTCTTCTTCTTCTTCTTCTTCTTCTTCTTCTTCTTCTTCTTCTTCTACTACTACTACTACTACTACTACTACTACTACTACTACTACTACTACTACTACTACTACTACTACTACTACTACTACTACTACTACTATCACTACTTCCCCTTTTACTACTACTTCATATGCTTCTACTACTACTACCACACATTTGAATAATCGATACGAGACAATTATGTTGGATTTGATTTGGTTGGGGGAGATAAAATCTTTTCTTCTTCTTCTTCTTCTTCTTCTTCTTTCTTTTCTTCTTCTTCTTCTTCTTCTTCTTCTTCTACTACTACTACTACTACTAATACTACTACTACTACTACTACTACTACTACTACTACTACTACTACTACTACTACTACTACTACTACTACTACTACTACTACTACTACTACTACTATCACTACTTCCCCTTTTACTACTACTTCATATGCTTCTACTACTACTACCACCACATTTTTATCTCTTTATCCCTCCCCACTACTACTACTGCTGCTGCTGCTGCTATCACTACTACCACCAGGGATTTTTCTTGTTTTTCTTTTTCTTAAAACGAGGTGCCGGTGCTCACAGAGAACTGACCGGCTGTGTGTGTGTGGGGGTGGGTGGGTGTGTGTGTGTGTGTATACAGTAGTGCTGAACAGATGTCTTTAAAAAGTGTTACTACTGCATACCGTTGCTTACCGCAGGGAAAAAGTCATTACAACAACAACTACTACTACTACTACTACTACTACTACTACTACTACTACTA